TACGAAAATTGAATTTTAATATTGCCTCTGCTTTTCGTCAGTTCAGTTCAAATCAAATACAGAATATTCTGTAAATTCCGTGTTTTAGAGAATTACGTATATTCCGTATTTTACAACTGATTGCATGTATTCCGCCATTCCGCCGAATAGGGTCACCCAAATATTGGGGAGGACATCATAAAAAAATATAGGAGACCGGTAGGACTTTTAAATCGATGAAAGTGCCTCGCTCATTTTGCAACTTCATTTTATAATATGCTTCATAATTTGTTTCCACAATAATATTTATGATATTTAGATGATAACCAATGCACAACGCACAACTTGTCACATTACCGATTGGACAGCATACCATGCACTCAAACTCTTGCGCAGGAAAGTTACAGAATGAAATTATTTTTTGCTGCACTCAGTCACATTCCTTTACACTTAAACCTCGGCTAAAAGGTCTCTTTTTAGATCTGTAGATTTGTAAGGTATTTCGAATACCCGCACATGTACATGTCTTTCAACACTAACATTGAAAGATGAAAGTTTGTTGCTGTGATAATTATGACAAAGATTGTAAACATCAAATATAATTGGATGTTTTAAGCCTCAATATTCTATCACCTTTTCAACAGCATGGAGGGGGAAATGGGGGCTTACGGTATTGAGCTTTTTTTCAAGCGGTATTTCGGTAATTTGCATTTTAAAGTGGGGTATTGCGGTATCATTTAGCTCTGCGGTATGCGGTATTTCCTCCTTTGGGTTAACGGTATTCGGTAAAAGAAGATCACGGTATTGCGGTACTGTTCACTGCCCTCTCCTGTTTAATGCTAGCCTGCGTAGCAGGCGTGTGGATGACTCCTCGCGTGTCTCCCTCGCGCGCGCCCGTTCTCTCTCGCGCCCACTACTTCCACAAGGTCCAGAGGAGTTTCGTGTGAATAAATGAAACTCACCTTGAAAAATGTCTATACCTGTCGCTTAGCACGATTAATTAGCCCAATGGGATCTTTATAAATCTACTGTAAACGATTTCTTCGCTTCTTATCTGACCCGGATCGACTTTTGAAAATCAATAACCGCAAGCCATATCCTCGCTGGCGCACGGCACGTCGCCTAGCCTGAGTATCAGGCCCTCCTAAGGGGCTAGGGGAGAGAAGATCATCACCATCTTTCCCCTTTTCCCCAGAAACGCCTGATACTCAGGCTACACGTCGCCCTAAGGGCGACTATAGAATGTGTAACGAAACTGTAACGCGATCAAAATAACCCATTTTTTCAGAGGTTCTCGACGGGTTCTGATGTTCTAACGACAAACACATCTCCTCTGGACCCTGTGCTACTTCCAAGCGCCTGCTACGCAGGCTAGTTTAATGCACGTCAGTATTTTTAAGACTTTAGATTAATGGTAAATGATTACCATTACACAATTTCTGACAGATAATCTGTGATGAAATTGGTAGGGTATCTTTTCCGTTCGTTGTACCGATCAATTCGAGGTCGTCTCACGTTTCCTCGCAAAATTAAATACCGCACTACCGTGAGAAAAATTGGTAAATACAGAAATAACCGCTGACCCCTACACGCGCTGACCCGTAACGTCCGTTGGAATGTATGTAACGAAATACAAGCAGCCCACATTCAAAGTGCTTGGAGACTAGCTGAGGCTGAATTCATCATCATTAATAGGAAAAACATAAAACTGTTTCACTTCACGATTTCTGGTGATAGAAAGACTGTTTTTTTTTAACTTATATTTCACGTATTTGTTTGGATCCCGCTGCAGTTCGGACAAATGAACGCTGTCACGCGACAACATTTCCAAGATTCAACTCTCCTTAGCCGGATGGTAATTTTCGAGTTATTCTCTTTTTCTGCGAATCTTTCATTTTCCTTTCTCTTTTAATTCTATATACTTCTATTTAGGATGGTTTTGAGCGCCTAGCAAGGCTTAAAGTGGCGTTTACCACGCTATCCTTGGGCATATTGGTGTTTCGCCGAAGTGGCAACTTAACAGTAAATACGGTAACTTTGAACGGTTTTTACAACGTCAGTATACTTTGGCCGAAAAATGTTTTTCCGAAAACGTGATGTATATCCCTCCAATGTCTGATTCATCACTGTGATTGCTTTCAGCAGCGTTGGACTTTTGAGAAATTATTATTTTAAAATCAACTCCAACGCTCCATCTATTCCCTTCGGCAGTTTTTCGATGTTTATCGAATGATATTGCATTAAAAGGCCTTTTTCTTCATCACTGTGTGGTTTTCTCGTTGTTTTGCGTCGCGATAGGGATTTCTGAACCGTTTTTTGCGAGAGCTTATTTTAGGCCTGATTTTGCTGCTATCAGACGGAAAAAGTTTGCGGCTCGATATTTTTGGTTTAAAGCGAAACTGAAACAAAAGAAATTCATTTTTGAATAGTATTCGGTAACCTCTACTTGGGAGATAAAAATCGGCCGATTTTATTTTTTAGCCGAAAATTATCGGTCGTTTCTTAGGCGCAGGGCCTCTTA